TAGCCACAGTTTCTCCTATTTTCTTTCTTTCCCTGCAGATTCTTGTATACTTGGCTTTACTGTGCAGCAGGAGGATAAAAAATTGTCCCTGGAAACTAATCAAAACTTTATGTCTGGAGCATTCACATGGCAGATTGGAGCTGTGGGTTTCACCCCTCTTGGTTTGTGATCCCCTAGAGCTCTGGTCACAGTCTCTGTGCAATGCTTTTGTCACCAGACAACTGTACAAATAGAGTGCATAATGTCATATTAAAGGATGTTGTTAAAATGGTACATGGTTCTTAAACACAATTAATGCAACTATAGGGCTTGCAAAAGAAGTCAGGAGCTTCTGTCCTTTGTATTTTAGGCATCCTATAGGACTGAAGCCTGCAACTATCTAATCTTTCAGACTTGCTTGCTGGTCTACTGATAAAAAGCCAGAATGTCTTCACATAGGGATCACTGAGTTCCAAAAAAATGTGGGTCCTTCATACTTACTTTTTATAGTAACTTGTGGGTGACAATCTCAGACACACTGCAAACATTAATCCCAGAGCATTCAGGGAACTAACATACATTTTTCTCAATTCACAACAAAGAAACAAGGAAATGCTCAAATGTTATGCCTAGGATGCAAAATGTGTCAGTTGTCCTAGTGGATATTCTGCCTTGAGGATACCATGTACCTAAAATATGCATATATTTTTTGTACTTTGTGAATTAGTTTAGTCTGCATGCATTCTAATGAGATTTGTAGATAAGACTGAATAGTGAGTTTCTGTCTATTTTTCTAATTTCTGAATTCACTCTTTGGCTCAGTGACTGGCTTCCGTTTTATGTGTCTGGAGAGCATAATGTACTGCCTGAATAACTAAGCTGTTTTATTTCCAAGGCACCTATCTGCTTCCATTAGCCATGCTGAAATTTAAAATTAACAAAAGAGAAGGGTAAACTATTCTGATCCAGATTTTCATCTCAGCTACTTTGGTATAAATTCAATTATTAAAATTCTAATGAAATTATCTTTTCTTTGAGATTTTTGTAAACTGTTGGGCATTTTAACAGTAAACAGATAAAAGCTGAGATAATGCAGGTTTTATTATATTTCTCTCTTTTGCCAAAATAGATTTAATTGAGAAAAGATGGAAAAATTATCAAGGGAAAGTAAGGGCCTGAAACTCTGGTTTTTTTAAAAAAAAATAATTAAAAGGTAGTCTTACAGAGGCAGGGTTGTGGGATTTATAATTACAGAGTGGTTGAAGAGTTATTCAGTCTGTCATGGAAACTGAAAGTTGATTATTTAGACTTAGAGTTGACAGATGATTAAGTAACAGTAACAAAACCACATCGGCTGAAAGTAAAGCAGTTAAATTAGTTTGAAGGGCTTTTACTATACTGATGACGTGAGATATTTGATGTCCAAGCTGGTGCTGTGTATTCCACAGACTCCAAGTGTTTTCTTCCACTTCTTGTCTGTCACATTTATTCATCTTAAGCTATGTTTAACATTCTGTCCATATTTTCTTTGCTTAACTCAAATACTGCTGGGCAAAGGTAGTAATTTTGAATTCTGCTCATTATACATTGATTATTTTTTATCACTGTCCTGTTCATGTTAGGGAATGATATTTAAATATTGAAGCACAAAAATGTGTAGGGAGTAAGCCTTGTAAAGTTGTCGCTGACAGAACTGTTCAAACAAATAACTTTTGCCAGCAGTAAGGGACCCCAAACTTTCCAGACATTTGGCAAATACTTTTTACCCTTCTAGTGTAGATATTTTCTTGTGAAACTTCTGAACCCTTTTAGCAGTATCCCCAGTTCATACCCCACATTCTTTGAATATTTTTATAGAAATCCATATGCCTTAGGATTTAGCCAGTGATTTCTCCAAAAGGACTCCTGTAGGTATTGTTACGACCGGTCTGTGATGAGGGGTAACTGAGGTTCCTTTTGATAAATCCCCTGGGGTGAATTAGAGTGGGATGATACTCAATGACCAGTGTATATGTGAGGCAGATTTATTTTTAAACAGTTTAATTGCAGCAGAAAGGAGGTATGTGTCCCTTTTGGTTCTTCAGTATAAAAGTAGAAAAATACCACGAAGAAAATATATAAGGAAAAGAAAGAAAGAGAGAGAAAGGATAAGAGCAGATAGTGGCAAGGAAAGATATAACCATCCATGAATCCAGGAATGAGACTTAAATGTTGTGCTTTGTATGTCTGTGGTTGGAGTAATGGTCACAGTCTTGATCTGTTGGGGGTGGGGGCCTGGAAAACAAAAAGTTCTTCAGGCTACATACATTTAAGTTAGCCTGGGAATGCCTAAATCCTCACCGGGAAGGGGATTTTTCGTGTCTAATGCAACACTGAGGAGCACACGCAGTTTTCTCATGAGAGTTCCCAAAGAGCTGGGGGATGCTTTGGGATCCCTCGTGGTCCATTGCCCCCCCTAGGGATATGACCACTGTTTGACCCTGCTTTTGTGCTTGCGCTGTGTGTTGTGTGGTCACCATGGACCTGAACAGAAAAATTGTCTCCAGAAAGGTGCTGCCCTACTTTCATACAGCCCCCCTTTCCCAGCAAGTCCTGTTAGAATTTGCCCGCTTGACTGGTCGTCAGTGTTTGAGGCACAGCAGTGCATTAACTCCTTACTGTCCAGGCCTCTACAGGTATTCCTATCTTCCGTCACGTCTTTTTGAACTGTTGGTAAGTGAGAAATTGTCTTCTGAGAGTCCTTGGGGCCATTGACCCATGTATGAGTTTTGGGTCTGTAGAGTGAAGAAGAGTGGTTATCTCCCAAGAGGTAAAAGCCTCACCAGGAGTCTGTTCTCTTGGACAAATTTTGTTTCATAAAGAGTGAAAGGAATAGAGAAGATCACTCATATCAGTAATCCTCCGGGCCAGGAGACCTACTGCAAATGATAGTAAGCTCAATGATCAAGTAATAATAGTGATGCAACCACAGCAGTCTTAGGACACGTTGATCTGAAAGAGGATCAGAACATGGAGAGAGGTATTGTCCTTTATTTGTCAGCCCATCTTTATAAGCTGAAAGATGGACAGCTCTTTGGATTGCATCTGCTGTCATTTCTTATCACACCTGGTGAAACAGACTCTGAACCTAAAAGGAATGGACCGCAGGTTGGGGCTTAGCATCAAGAGTGCAGTGAGACAGCTGAACCTTCACAAAGTGAACTTGATTCATTTTCAGAGTAATCCGTAGATAATATTTAATTACTAATTATATTGTGTTGTAACAAACTAATGGACATGTTTCAGTATTTTTGAGGAAACAGAGCTTTTTTTAGTAACATGCAGATTTTATTAGAAACCCTATTATTAAACTAATGATCAGTACTAGGGAGAGGATTTCAATTGTAATGCTTTTTACAGTTTATATGCTTTAGCACTGTGATTTACTGAGGTTGGTTGCAAAATACATTTATGATTTTTATCACAATATTTATTTAAAGTTCTCTGTGCTGTCCTAATTTCACTAGATAAGTAGTCTGCCATAAGCTGCTTGCACCCTTTAAAGGTGACATAATTTATTAAATGCTTTACAAATACAAGGCTTTTTAGATTATGTAGTGCATAAAATATTGCATTTACAAGCTCAAACATATGGTATTAATGAGGAATGATGGCTCTTACAATTTCCTTTTCTAAATAATGAAACTTTTTTGATTAAAGGCTGAAGATGCCAAGGCAGCCATTCTGTAATCTAATAAACGTGCACAGATGTACTTGAACACATGAGGAAACTCATATGAGTAGAATCTGAATCATCCTTGGAACTATTCCATAAAAGCCTGATCCAAAGTCTGTTTAAATCTGTAGAAAGATTCCTACTGATTTTGTATGTTGTGGTTGAAGTCTAAAAGGGATGACTATGAATGTTTCTTTGCAGAAGGCAGGTTATCAATGTCTGTAAGAACTGGTGAAATCCTGTCATGGCAAAACTTCCATTGGCTTTATTGAGGTCAGGATTTTCCCTGTGTGTGTTTAGACAATCAGCTTTACATGCTCTTTAATGACCAAGAAGCGATGCTGATAAATTTGGAAATTCCATCATGAATAATTGATCTGCAGCTGCATAAAGTAACTCTGACAGTGCACTTCAGTGATATTCTTGTACAGTATTGAGATATTTTAGGGAATGTACACTCATTCTTCTTTCAGACATCTATTTTATCTACAGTCCTTGCTGGGATTCACAGACCAAGTGCTCCTTTCCTTTTCGCATGCAAGCTAATTAATGCCAGTGTTGGTGCCATTAAAAATTGCACGATAACTAAACATGCTTGCCTAAGCAAGTATAAATCTTGGTTCAAATCTATTCTCTGCCCTGAACTTGCATCTCCCATGTCCTAGGAAGCAGCCTGGACTCCAGTGAATGGGGATGATCTCTGATTAAAGCTGTCCTAATAGCTATCAGATGTTTAAGTATTCCCTGAAATACTTTTGGGAGTGTAGATCTTCCTTCTCGTGGCTGAGTACTCCAGAAGCACAAAACTGGAGATTTGTTCTCCGTTTACTTTCTTTCTCCCCACTCCAAAATAATTATTAGCTATTCCAGAGAGGGCTCAGAAAGAGAGGTTTTTGAGTCTTTTCTCTCTCTGGCTAAGCAGTTTGAGCACTCCTCCAGGATACAAGGTTTAGTGCTCTTGACAGAGGAGAGCTGCAGCACAAGCAGCTACTATCACTGCCAGATTACAAATTCAGGTACCAGCAGTGAATGGCTGAAATCAAGCTGTCACTGGGGTTAATAAGAAATGAGAAGAAATCCTGTTTTCATAATAAAAACAAGCACACAAATTGAAAAGGACGAACTTCAAGCTAATATTGTTTCATTTCCTAACTATTCTGCTCCTACTTAATATTTTACTCTTTGAGGGGTGTTTGTTTGTTTGGGGGTGGGGGGGAGGAACAAGGCCATAAGGGTTTTCTTTTCTGTAAATTTTGTCATCTGACTTCTATTTTAAAAATACAAACTTTTTTTTCCTTTCCTGCAGGTCCTGTTGCCACCATATGATGATCCTGTGAATGGAGCTGCTAAAGATCCACCACCACCTTATGTGTCAGCATAAGTGAGAGTGCTGTGTCCCTAGGGAGTATAGCTTTACTTCTCAGACATTGGAGCAATAGTTTGATAATTTCACTTCCAGGATATAACCTCTGTGGGTTATACATTGCTGTTTTGCTGACATGTTGAAACCTAAATTGTATGATTATTATTCTGTAGATAGTTTTAATAACTTACTGCAACTACAGTAGTGTTTCAGAAACTAGTGAACTGGTTTCAGAACAATTCTGGGTAGCGCTAAGGTTACAGTAGTCACTGAATAGCTTTTTCCACCGTGTCTGACATGCAGTGCTAGAGAACATAGAACTTTGCATTCTCAGTCAGATTCAGTGTAACTTTATTTTTTTTATCTGAAAAAATTCCAAAGCATTACAAATGTGTTTCTCAGATGCCCACTTTCACCTTCAGAATATAGACCAAGTCCAAAAAAGCAACATTCCCGTTCATTCCTGTTTTACAAGAGTTTATGAAGTTACGATGCTATAAAGGATGATGATTGCAAGAAGGATGAGTCTTAATCAGTATTCTCACCAACCTGGCTAATGGGAAACAAATTTAATTGGGAAGGATAAGTATGGGACATGGGGGTAGAGAAAGTGCTCTGTGGTGTGTAACAAGCCAGAACCTGTGGTCTACATGGACTCACTTTGTACCAGCCTGTAACCATTCTAATTTTCAGAAAAAAAGAGTTCTTAGCAAATTCTGATAACTTTCGTTTCCTGCCTACTCACCTTTTTCCTCTCCACTAACTTCACAAAGAGCACTTGGAGGTCACAAAATCCCCACTTTTAAAATCACATGGTTAGGTGACAAAGCTGTGACTTTTGCCCTCAATATGCAAATTTTTCCCCATTGGAATGTGCCTGTAAATATTGCAATGTTCTGCTGAGTGTAAATTAAATTATGCAGATTCTAAGATAAATGTTCCTAACATGTGGGGAACTTACGCATGTAACTTCCTGGAGCATTAGCAGATACGTTTTACATGTTTATCATATACATCAGTGTGAGGATTTTAGATCTCTTTTATGACTGAACTGGTTTGTGCTGAGAATCTTTGTCATGAGACTCATCCATCCACGAGTGCTTTTGTGAGGTATTTATTTCTTCTCCAGAGAAGTGCCTCCTGCACATGTAACTTTTTGTTGCTGATGAAGGTTCTACTTTTAATTGAAAAGGAAAAGGGAGTAGAATGTATGTCTCTACCTCTCATTGTTTCCCGCTGTGTTGTCTCCTCTGCATTTGGGGTGATTGAACAGGCTGAAGCTAAAATGATGCCATTGCACAACGCGCCAGGCAAAGGGCAGTGCAGAGCTGAGCCACAGTTTGGAGGGGCTGGCACATGAGTCTATGCCCTTCCTAAGGAGGACACCCATTTTAACCCTCAGTGCATTGACTCCATTCTGCAGACTGAAGAAATATAGAACTTTTCCTGCCTTTTTCTGGAAAAGAATTTTCCAGGAGAACACAGGACTGACAACTTCTTTTTACAGAGATTGCAGCTGTGACCTGTTTTTGCAGAAGCCAGGGAAGGAAAGGACAGACTCTTTCTGCCTGTCTCTTCCCATCCCTGGGAAAAGGCAGGTCCCCATCTCCTTCTTGGAATTTTAGTTCAGGGTTCATCTACTCCGAGATCAAACTAAGCAATGCATTTGAATGAACCAGTCCTGAAGTCCATCCACTGATCTTTATCACAGTCCTATTTTTTCCTTCTGAATAACTCCATGTACTCTCTTTACAGATATCTTTGGGAATTAATCTGAATTTGGGGGTTGGGCTGGCTGGCTGGGCTTCTGAGCTTCATTTTCTTTCATTCTTGACAGATTTGTGAAGGATTTCAAACGGTCATCTGTTTGAGTTGTAAATACATCACATCTGTGTATACAAACTTCTCTACAATAAAAGGGTGTTTCCTCAAGACTATGGAAATAATTTTTGATGGTCTTCCACACACAAACACACAAAATCCTGTCCAATCAATCTGTCATGGCAGGATTTTCTCTGTAGAGGACCTAAGCAACAGTTTTTCAGTCCACTCACCAGTCCATTCACCAGCTTTCCCTCCACACTGTATAAATGGAGAAAAGGACAGTAAATTCTATAATTTATTGCACAATAAGACCAAGAGATAATTCAAGGTGTTAGTTCATTGTCCAGAACTGCAGGCAGTTTTCTAGATCTGTGTGTGATACAGAACAGGGCTAAACTGAGCTACACTGAAAGCTGAGACTTCTTTTTCTCCACATCATAATAGGGATAATGTTGTGCTAATTCACATGAATTTGCTTTAGACTTCATCTTGTCTTAATAAAGCATCAAGACTTCTTCACACACCCCATATGTGCATAAGTGCAAGTACAATGTGTCCTGCCAGGACTCCTCTTGGATTTGGTCCAATATGAGTTAAAGAAGGCAGGACAGTTATGGTATCAAAACCATGGCATTCTTGCACACACGGTAAATAACTGGGTAGGAGGTAACAGATAATGTAATATAAGTTCAGTTCTGGTGACATATCAGAGGATTTCCCTGATATGAAATGAGAGATGAATTCCCCCATTCCCAAAGAAAAAAGAAGTTCTGTGGGTTACGTGAAGAGACACGAACTCCAGCTGAAGGTTTTTTATCCTCAAATGTTGAATTCATTCTCCATTTCCATGTCTAATCCTGAGGAACTCACACCACAGCTTTTCTATAATTCATTTTTAATAGTCATCTGTGACACAGAAACCCATTAAAAACTTGGCTTCTTAAGTTTCTGTGCTTTGGGAACTGCTTGCTCCTAACTGTGCTTTTTCCAATATTCCTTGCATTTTTTCCTTTCTCCCAGATATTTGGAGCATGTGTACTGGAGTTCTCTCCTGTTTTCAAATCTGAAACTCTAATATAATGGTTTTATTAATAATTTTTAGTAATTTAGGATTGGAAAGAAAACATTTTCAGGGAATGTTGGAACATCATAAATATGGGGCCAAAACCAGCAAGCAGGAATCTAAACTTTGATAGTATCAGAAATATAAGTAGGTCTTTTGTGGAAGCCCCTTTTAAAAAAAAAAAAATCTGTTACAAGACATGGCAGGCTTCACAAATCCTACACATGCTAAGGCACAAAGGCTGATTCACTCATCTGTGCCTGATTCTTTTATTCCTGATTAAACAATGTGGTTTCCCTTCATTGTACACTCATCTATACATCGTATTGGAGAAAGCGAAGAGAAATTTGTAGTGGTGACCCAACAGTGTGGCACTCATGCTTGTAAGTACATTAAATTTTCTAAAACAATTATTAATAACCATTATTTTAGGTGTTAGACTGTCTGTACTTTGGGAAAACATCTGGTTGGTAAAAACAATCCAGACTTGATATGTTAGCAAAGGCCATGTCAGATCAATTTACAGCCAGAGAAAAGCTTGGCAAGGAAGCAGAGGAAATGATAACTGGTCAACAAATTCCAAACAAGTTCCAAATACTGTGCTTTTATAATAGGGCATTCTTCACTGCTACCCTGTTGGCCAAAGTGTAGCAGCTTGGGACACCATGGACAATTTTGACAAATCTTTGCTAGTATCAACAAGGCTGCACACTGATGCTTGGAATGTGCAAGATGGAAGATATGGCTACTGCTAAGGGCAGAATGGAAAGAGGAACAGCAACAGGAACAGAACATAGGAGGGCAACGTTCGTGTATGTCCTTTAAGCAGCACAGAGATGCCATTGCACTGCTGGGTTCACTGCTACAGTGTTGGTTGGCTTATGTGCTCTTTCATTTTCCTCTGCTGTGGTCTGGAGGAAATATAATTGTGCCTGTAACCTGTTATATTAGCTGTTAGACCAGCTCTGTTTCACAATATATCACTGGAGTGGATGATGCCTTGTTCTTGCTTGTTGTAAGGCAAAGACATCTACAGATTTATATTTCTAAACCAAAAGAAGTATTGGTTAAATTCCTGCCAAACTATCTAGTTAGACAGAAGACTCCAAGCTGCTCCTCTGGGGCTAAGTTATATCTTTAAAGACTGCTCTTCGTAGATGTTCTCTCCATAGAGGCTGCTCTCTTTAGATGCTGCTTCTCTGGAGCCAGATTACATCCTTCCCACTCATTTGTCTCTATTAGCTACAGAAACTGCAGTCAGATACCACAAAAAAGCATTTCTTGCAAAATTTCAGTACCTATTGCTTCAGAGATGTTCCAGCACTATCTCAGTTCCCAGCTCTGAGAAATCCAAAACAGCAGCCACAGCTATCTAAAGGGAGGCTTGGCTCTGATAAATCAGGATTAGCATTCTTTCAGAGAAAGACTCTGGTATTTGTAGATGATGTCTCCACACCCATGGGTTTGACCCAGAATGGTTCTGCAAGGTCACCAGTTTTTCAACTAAATAGCTCAGCAGGGTGTGGAAGACAGATCTGTGACCTTCTGCCTGCAGCCTGCATCTACCTACAGCAGAGAGGACACTCTAGCAATGGGAGTGAAAGCCTCATTGTCACCCAGCCAGTAAATATGAAGTTATTTCAAAGCAAAAAGGCAGTTCTAAAACTACACCCTAGACAATGAATTACAACAGTAGTTTATTTTAATGAAGCACTTCTGTGACATTCAGTGCAGTAAAATAGTTTTTTCTTTCTTGCAGATTATTCAAACCTTTCAGGCAGGAGAGTTTTTGGAAAGTAATGAAATGTTTGTACTTTGTAGCCAGAGCTGGATTTAACTAATTGGTTTGAGCGGAGGACACAGGGTCACTCAGAAAGCTGAATAAACATCAAGGAGATGAATCAGAGCTGCAGCAGGGCTGGCTACCTGGTTTACATGAGAAGCTTGCCAGCCAGCAGAGACAAAGAAGCTGTGAAGCTACTCAGAGAGAGGGAGCTGCAGCACAGCAGATTCTCTGCAGGCATTTCAGAGTACTTCTGTTTGCTCTTTGAGGTCAACATGACCAGCAATAGCAGAGATGAGCCACACACAGTTTTTTAGCCCAGAACCTGGGCTCCATTACAATACCTCAGTGCATCCCGCTAATAATTTTAACAGGCTTCTGTTTTAATATAAATTTTCCCCAGGTATCTAAATATTTCTGGTTTTTGAAGGGGTTTATATTTATTTTTTTCAGATTCCATCTTTTCCATGTAATATTGAAACTGTTTCCTTCTCCAAAGCTCCCCATTGAGGTCCCTTCATGAGAGCTGGGGCAAGCATGCAATTAGAGACAGAGGTCTGACGTGGGTAGACTTTTAGCATCAAATCTTCTGAGAACATTCAGTGCCAGGATGGGCAAGGTGTTCTTCAAAATACAGATACCATTCTAATAAAAGTACACAGGGGGGTCCTCTGTGTACTTTGGAGAAAAAGTTACTGGACAGACAATTATCTTTACAATTATGTTTTGTGTATGACCAGTACACCAGATTAAGACCAATGGATAAACAATAAATTAGTGGGACACTCTGGGAGATGGATACTATTTATATGAATGTGATCATTCTTGGCAGTATCAGATGCACTCACCTGGGGCAGCAAAGGCAGTGAAAGTAAAGGAACAAAGGCAAAACCTGGCAGTTAGTTACAAATACTTATATTTTGTGAGTTTATAAAGTCTTTTCCTCATCACCTCATTAGAAAAATTGAATGAGTTTCATGTCCCTCGTTGCCTTAGAGACAAGGGTGAAATTAGCTATATCAGTTGCACAGGCCAGCTTAAATTTCCTGCTATTGTGAGATCCTACTGCTTTGCTTCTCATGAGGAAAAAGCAACTATAGAAGTTCAAAATGCTTTTAAAGAACCAGACTATTTGATACAGTAGTTTTGGGGATTTATTTGTCAAAAAATACTTAAGTTTGCTGATTTTTTAATGTTTATGTTTTCCTTTTAAATACAAATATTTACTCAAGGTGTATGTGGCCACATGTTCATCTCCAGATCTTG